TACTCTCATAAAAGTCTTTGTAGGGTAATGTTATTTCATGGAAAAATGGAAGGAGCATAATGAAACTACATCATTAGGTTCCAAATAGCTAAGGAATAGTTAAGAGCCTGAGGACTTGGTGCCTGATTCCAATTCTACCATTCCATTTTCTCATCAGTAAAATGGGAGAAGGGAACAGTGCTTATTTCACAGTGTCAGGAAGATTAAATGAGAAAATATGTAAAGTGCTTGACACTTAGGAGTGTCCAATAAGTGCTGCCATTGCAACTTTGAGGTCATTATTGGTATAGTTTATAAAACGAAACCTTTTATTAAGTGAATTGCCTTCTGGGACTTATATACAATGGAGGGGAAAAAAATCAAGACTAACAATCTGCGTGGGGACTCTGTCTCTGGAGGAGAAACATCACCTTAGTGTGTTAAGAGTTCTAAACTTTATTATGTCATTTGTCATATATAGCTTTCAAATGTGCCCCTAAATTTGAATTTACTGGAAAATATCCCAGTTTTCTGAATGGCACTCCAAATTCAGCCTTTTAGTTTAAAGGTCCTACATTGTTAACATTCTTTTATTCGGTGGTACTGGGGTTTGAACGCAGGACTTCACACTTGCTAGACATGAGTTCTGCCACTTGAGTCACTCCACAGATTGCAACCATTCTTATTCTTTGTTTTCTTCATTAAATAGTATCTTAATAACTTTTAAAGTTTCAAAAGGCAATTCACAAATATTATCTCATTTGATATCTAAAATTCTGGGAGTCAGGGCAGTGAGATTATACCCAATGTATAGATGAACTGACTTTCGGGAGGCAGAGAGTCTTAGCCAAGGTAACCCAAATAGTAAGTAATAGTACTGAAATTTTACTCTGTACTACCTTCCCCTAAGTGTTCACTCCAAAGAACAACAAATTTGATTTTGTTTTTCTTTTGTCTAATACCAAAGACATTTTCTTGGTTGTATCTTCAAGGCTAATCTACTGAAACATCAAGTCAAAAGCTTGGGATTCAAGTTTCTTTAGTAGTACCAGAGCGCAGGCGAAGACACAAAAAGAACCAATGAACAAGTGAATTGATAGACATTCGCCTCTTTCTATTGACTGGGATCGCTAACTTCTCTTCCCACGGCTTCATAAATAAGGCTCCTGACTAGGTACAACTCATTATCTTGGCAATTATAATCCCTTTGTTAATAATATGAACCCGTGATAAACAGCCTATTTATATTAAGAAAATGTAATAAGGAACATAACTGTCACACCCTAAAGTAAATAGTTTGGGTTATAACAAACAATAAAATAAGTTGACAATCGACGCTTAAGATGGTTTACTCCCTTTCCTCTTCCCTTTTCTTTTAACAAACATTTTGTGCACCTACTAGGTACTTGATACTAAGCTATTACATTGAGGAAGGGCATAAAAGGGTGGGGAATAAAAGATGAATCAAATTGATCATTATAATAAAATACGATACAGGTATGCACAGAACACTAGGCAGACACAGAGGAGGGGTGTTCACTTTTATGTAGTGACAACAGTGTTCAGGAGGTTTTGAATCCTAACTTTATCACTTTTTCAACATTAAAAAAAAATTCTTTCAAGCCAGGCACCAGTGATTCATGTCTGTAATCCTACCTACTTGGGAGGCTAAGATCAGGAGGATCCATCCCCAGCAAATAATTTGTGAGGCCCACCCCCCATCTCAAAATAAAGCAAACTCCAGAGCAAAATGGACTAGAGGTGTGGTTCAAGTGGCCTGCAAGAGCACCTGCTTTGTAAGCACAAAACCCTAAGTTCAAACCCCAGTTCCACCCCCCAACAAAAAAAAATAAAGTAAAATTTTTTTCCTAAGATGACTAGGCAGTCAGTGACTTTTTTTTTACAGTGTAAAATTTACACTATTTGATGGCACCAAGAATATGTTTAATCATAAAAAATACGTAAGCAAAAAAAATATTACATAAGCAACAGTTTCTGTAGTCTTGGTCTGTGGTTTGAGTTAATTTATAACCACTGGATGGTTTTGCTCAGATCAATTATTAAAGAAGTAACAAAGTTCTTCCCAATCTGACCAACTGTAACAAATGAAATAAACATATCAGTCCCATGATTCTGCTTATTTTCAGAGATTTTCCCAAAGGGATTTATCCTGTTGACATGGCTCTTAATTATGAAGATACATTTCTTTGCAATCCACCTGCATTATTTCATTATAAAGAGAATGTACTGGCTTTAGGAAAAACTAGTCATATTCTAGGTTTGTTCATATTTACCAATTTAAGATTAATTTTCAGCAAAGACATAAAGAGGCAGAGTTTGGGCTTTTGTAATTCCACTGCCTCCCTCAGAAGCTGTCCTCTGGAGGACCCAGAAGTCTGACTCAAGCTGGATTCTTCTGGAATTTGTTTACTGCCTCTCACCTTTAGTGAAGTACTGAAGTTTTCAAGATCCTACACCTTGGTATGCATTTTAGCGGTAGCTCTAGGACAGGAAAAAAGGTTTGGAAACTCAGATAGTCTGGGTTTGACACTGTATGATTCTTATGAGCTATATGTGATTTTATCACTCTGACCCTCAGTTTCCTCATTGTAAAATGGGGAGTAATGGGGCTTTCCTCACTGCAGAAATGCAATTAGATGTTTTTAAAACAGGTTATTTTTGGCACATGAAAGGCATTCATGAGATAGACTGTAAAGTGCTCAGGATGAGTCTTGCACAAGACAAACATTTAAGAAATTCTACTTCATACATTCTAGCAATAAATTTCCTACCACTGTCAAATTTCTAAGGCTTGTCATTTAAAAAAGGTGATATTGACCAAGCAAAATTTCATTTGTATATATCATTATATAGGGAGAGAGTGCATTCATTTTCATTAGTTTCTTAAAAGATTTGTCTAAATACAAAGTTTAGTGTAGAACCAAGAAAAAGAACTTAGAAGTTAAAAAAAAAAAATCTGTGGCTGGGTATGGTGTTAGACACCTGTAATCCCAGCATTCAGGAAGATGAGGCAGGAAAATTACAAATTGGAGGCCAGCTTGGACTGCACAGTGAGTTCCAGGCCAGCCTGGGCTAAACAGCAAAATACTGTCTTAAAAAACAAAACAACACGACAGCAACAAAAAAGGTCTATAACCATAAGAAAACTAAATAACCATTAAGTACAAGGATCATATTTATTCCCAAAGAACTTCATTTGTCACAGCAATTTTCCTCTAGAAGGTCAGAGTACAGAAGGGATGGGGTTAAGAAAATATGATACAGGAGTGAACTTGATCAAAGTACCTCATATGCACATATGGAAAATTCACACTGAAACCCTTTTGTAAAATTAGTTTATGTTAATAACAAATAGATGAATATGTATACACTAATAGTGAAAGAAACAAAGAAAAGAAGGAAGGAAGGAAGGAAGAAAGTATAGAGGAAAAGATCCTACTTACCTTACCTAGGAAAAGATAATGATTGAAGAGGTGATACTGAACAATTTTTTCCTCTGCAAGTTTTAGAATCAGTTATGCTTAAATTTAAAATATGGCTCCACTAACCCTAAGCAATTTAACCTCTGTATCAGTTTCTTCAATATAAAGTGGAGATAGGAACTGTACCTACTACAAGTATTGTGAAGATTCAGTAAAATAATGTGTATAAAATATTTCACACCAAATAAAAACAAAGGATTTTTTGTAAAGTTTGTTTTGGTGCTGGGGGTGGAACCAGCCCATCTCTCTTGCCTAGTGCTCTATCCCAGAGCTACACCCCCAGCCCTCTAAAATTCTTTAGATGCTCCTGGAAAGGAATGAAAGACATGTATTCCGGGCAAGAAAAATGGTATTTAAGAGTTGGGTGGACAAGGCTGGCTTTACAAATAATCAGAATTTTTGGGCTTGGTGGTTTGGGCTTTGTAATCCCAGCACTTGGAAGGCAGAAGCAAGATGACTACAAGTTTGAGGCCAGTCTGGGACTACATAGTAAGACCTTGTCTCAAAAAAACCCAAACCAAATAATCACAATAGATGACTCCAACATAGTGTTCGTTGTGGAGTGCTGAAAAAGCCCACCCAGACTCCATCCTGCCTGAAATTCCATCTTTGGAAATAATTCCTTTGGACTAGTAAGAACTCCTGAGAGGCTAGCAGTACGCCTGAGAGGTTTATGGGCTCTCTTTATTGGGCACTCCCCGGACCCCAAGGAGTCACCAATAAAGGTTCAAGATGGTAGCTTTCTCAAGAGCACTAGCTTCTTCACAGGGGAGCTTAGATGGAGCTCCTGCCTTCATGATTTCCCAGTAAGGTGGTGAGGGTAGGGGAACTTAAGAGTTCCTCAAGAGACAAAAGCACAAAGGAGAGTTCCCTAAAGACAAAGGGGCAGCATGGGACAGATGTGGAGCTGGAAACAGAGGTGGAAGAACGCCAGAGATTTTCTTCCTTCCTTCTGCATGTACCGTCTTCTGTGTGATGGGAGCTGGAGCTTGGCCTCTTACTATGAAACTGGTTATGTTCCCAAAGCCAGGGATGTAGGTAAGGGAAGCGGGGCTCTTTCTAGGTCCAGAGGAGGGAGGCTCACACTTGGGGTGGTTGAAGGCTGGATGGAGGGTGAAAATTGGCCTCGCTGATGGCCAATTGTTGCTGCGCCTCCTTATCCGCATGGACGACACGAGATAGGAAGCGCTGGCACCTGGCGGGGCATCTGGGATCCGCGGGATAACGCGAGCCCCCACCCGGGTTCGGAGGATTGGACACGCCCCTGCCATTCGCGCGTCCACCCTGTGCGGGGACAGACTGTGCCCTCTGCACCCCACCACCCCCAAATCGTGACTCTCAGCCTGAGAAGAGGAAGACAGCAACTTTGAGAAGCGCTCGCGCAAAGCAGCAGAGATGCGCCTGGAACCCGGTAGTCAGACAGCCGAGGTTACGCTACAGACTGGAGCTCGGTCCCCCCGGGGGAGGATTAGGGCTCGATGGGCCAGGCACGGGCCTCGCCAGGGACGCGGGGCTCACCCTTAAAGGAGTCAGGGAGCCGCCGGGCTTGGGTGTCTTCTGCGTGCCGCTTCTCAGCCATTGCTGCTTGATCCTGAGCCTCACTTTACCGTCGGCGTCACCAACCCTGGAGCCTCGCGAAGTGCGGTGAGCACCCCGTGGGCGCAAGCTCTAGCTTGCAGCCCCGCCCCCTCGCAGGGCCCGCCCCCTCGCGGCAACCTGGCCAATAGACACTGGCATCGGCGGGGACACGCCCCCTCACCTCCCACCCCTTCTTGACGGGCGGAGGGTTGGTCGTTTCCCGTTAGGTTAGCACTCTAAGGGGCGTGGCCTGAGAGGCGTGGCGCCCCCAAGAAGGGGGTAGACACCACCCCGGCGGCGCCTGAACTGGGGCGGGGAGGCCAGCGAATTGGGGCTGGCGGAGGGTTCTGTGCAGGTTGCCCGCAGTATGGCCTGAGGAGAAGGTGCGAGTAAAGGCAAGGCGCCCAGCTGGGTAGCGGTACTGGAGCAAGGCGCCTTCTCCAGAGGAGGGATTGGTGGGGAGAAAATGGCGCCCTCTGGTGAAGGGGTGGCGTCGGAGTTGGGGGAAGGCTGAGGGGCGTCCGGGAGGCCACGGGGCGGCCGCTGAGGCCAGCCTGAGCGGAGAGGGCGATGGTGCGACCACCCCAGAGCCCAGGTGAACTCATTCGAGGGAGCTGCGGTGACGGTATTCAGACAGAATCCCTTGGGAGCCCCCGGCCTGGGGCCACTGTTGAGGAAGCAGTGGACGGCGACAGACACGGTGCCCGCCCCATGGACTCTATGGAGTGCTCTAGTATCGCGACAGCGACTCACAATCACGACACGTGGTGAAAGGCGCTGGGAGGGGAATACCAGGGCATCTGCTGTGGCTAAGGGGACAAGGGAAGGCTTCTTTAAATAAGGAGGCCTTGGGATGTCATCCGAAAGATGAGAAGGAGCCAGCCTTAGGAAGGGGACGGTCCAGGCCTAGGGAAAAGCATGTGCGAGGGCTAAACACCTCACACTGGAAAACCACTGATGTGTTTTATTCTCCCTGATTTGTCCTCAGGAAAACTGTTGGGAATGTGGTAATGTATGCAAGAAGATGCACTCTAAAAAGCATTTTAGAAGAAGAGAATGATGGAGAATAATACTGAAATACATGGCATCTGTGGGAACGAGACAGAAACACACTGAAAGCTGTTGAGCAATACCTGGTAGGGGAGAAGGGTAAGAAAGACTAAAAGCGGGGATTAGACTGTTAAAATACAATAGATTTGCCGGTGAAATGCCAAGGCAAACCCCCACTGAACAATGAACAGACAAAACAATGAAGGACAGGAATGCAAAACAGGCTAAGTTATGGAAGGGAGCTAGTAGGAAAGGGAGGGTAAGTGAAGAGGGTGAATGTGGTGATGCATTCTCTACACATGCATCAACACGGAACATTGGAACCGTTGGAGTCATTTTAAGAACGGGGAGGGGGAAGGGAAGGAATAATGGAGGGAGTGAACCAAACTCAGGTACATTGTATATGGGAACATTACAGTGAAACCCCCTGTATAACTCTATGACCCCATTTATAATATGTACTAATAAAAAATGTTTAAAATTTTTCTTTTGAAGTTGCAAAGACAGTATAGAGAGGTCACATGAATCCTCCACCCAGTTTCCCCTTGAAGCTACAATTTCCTTCACTGTGGTCCCAAAACCAGGAAATGGACCGTAGCACACTGTGTATAAAGTTCTATCGTGTAGATTCCCATAACCATAGTAGTACAGGTACAGGATATTTCATCACCACGAAGATTTCCCTCATGGTGAGCACTTTTTTTCTTGTCTTTTTTTTTTTTTTTTAGCAGCACTGGAGTTTGAAATCAGGGCTTCAAGCTTGTTAGGCAGGTACTCTTACCACTTGAGTCACTGGGCTAGCCCTTTTTTTTTTTAATGTCATCAGTAACTGTGTGATATCAGATACTTTGTGCTTTGACAATCAGTTAAAGTTTTTTTTTTTTTAATGGGACTGGGATTTGAACTCAGGACTTCAGAGCTTGCAAACCAGGCACTCTACTATACTTTGTGCTTTGGTCACAGGAAATAGTATACTTCCTGTGATTTTATAGCTTTATTGCCTTGGCTCTGTCAGGAAGGACACACACACCATCAAAGGAGAGGTGCTAAGATCTTTACCTGAAGGCAAAGGCTTCAGAATTTGATAAAAGCCTGATTCAGAGCTCTCAAATTGACTTCCAAATACATAGAACTGTTTGTATTCCTGGAGGTGGTGCTAACAGCTCATGCAAGTTACATGTTTATTAGTTTTCTGGAGAAGATAGGAGGGAAGTATAAATTTAATGATCTCTCCTCTTTAAATCATCCTTGAGAAAGTCCACAGCTTCATTTTTTCCATTCTGCCATGAGTAACCCCCAGAGGCATGTACTTCCTGTTTATGCTGTGGTTCCCAGGAAAGAGGAGCAAATGCACAAGAAATTAAACCTTCCAGTAGAGGAGGGCTTGATTACAAATTGCACATTGCAAAAAGGTATTCAGGTTTCATTTTTTCTGGAAAGGAAAATATTTCAAAATGAATTTAATGTCCACACTCCTCAAGTCTCAGGGCAATCTCAACAGCATCACTTCTGAAGTGTCTCCCTTTGGGACAGAAACTTCAGTAAACACTTGGCTCTAGTTTTAGATTGCATCAGTTCTAGAGCTAATGCCAAGTCCCAAACTAAGAACAAGCTTTGACTCGATCTTCAGATTACTTTCAGAATACATGAGAATTTTCAATTTGATTTGGTTTTCTCACACATAATCAGTATAAATGAATGGTTCAAATGTACTTTAAAAATAAATATTAGTGTGATTCTCCCCTTGGGAGATTTTTAAATCTAAACTTTCTCCTAATGCTGATTAGAAGTTAGAATTTTCTAAAAGAACTTTATGCTTTAAAATGGAAACTTAATTTTGGTGAACTTTTCCTCTGGTTGTTATTTAAAATATATTTGTATGTAGTCAAAATTGAAATATATATTCTATACTACTTTTTATGTTTTATTTTGCTGTTACTTGACAAGCATATTCAGCATACCAAATGAAGTATTGATTGATAGTGATAGTGATGACATTAAGATGTAGAGATGAGTTGAAAATCTATCATGAATCCATAATTGAATAAATCAGAAGAAAATTTAGTCTTTTTCCAGTGCTCACAAGAAATGCTTCAATAAGAACAAGAACATCCTTAATTATTATTTTTTCCTTTAAAGTGCTAATCTGGGCTGTTCTTGTTGCCTTTAGTGAAGTCAGCTAATCAACTGCCTTGTGGGAATAGCAATAGCAAGTTTTATTTATTTGTGCCATTCTGCCCAGGACTGGACCAACAAATTTGATCTGTTTTTCTGCATGGATTAGTTTGCTTTTATTGCATTACAATAAAGTTTTTGTCTTCCTGTATCTTCTTCAGGAAGTTATTCCAGGATTTGAATCATCACTTGAGTTTCACCAGAGGATTTTATACATTTGAGGTGTGGCAGGAGAACAATTGCATCACAGTATCTAGTAAGATACTGGGAATCCAGGTCCTCAGGTGTTCTGAAAATAAAAAGCATTACTATAACAACACTGGTGGTATTTAATAGAATTATCTAAGGGAAGATTCTTATTAATCTGCTTTATTTATATGTTCACTCAGCAAATATTTATTGAATATCTACTGTGTGCTGGGCAGGATAGTATGGCATCATAGGATTTAAAGACTATGCTAATGATATATACACAGTTGTGCAGTTTTCCAAGAAATGGCTGGGCCTTTCCAAGAACCAAGGAATGGAGAGTGGTTTACCTAATAAGGTATCCTCAGAGCCAAGATGAGGGAGGTTAATGCGTGAAACTGCAACTATAATGAATGTAAATGAATTTTCTAGCTAACCTCTAGAGTTGGGAAAGTCACTGTTGGGGTTGTTGCTGTGGACTATTGGCTGCTATATACCAAGAAGAAGCCTCAGCTGAAGTCAACCATCACTTCAGGACAATGGCGGAGTAGGATGTTTGGCAGAATGTACCCTGATTTGGTGCTGCACCTGTTCCTTGGGTCCTTTGTGTTATTCTTTTTACCTGTTTACCCTGTATCACATGGATCTTACATTCTAGTATTCTTTTCTACACATAATTAGTTTGTCAGGTTTTCTATACCATGTAGCACAGACTGGGTGGCTTAAACAATAGAAATTTTTCTTGTAATTCTGGAGGCTAGAATTCTAAGACCAATGTGTTAGCAGGGTTGGTCTCTTCCAAGGCATATGAGGGAACAATCTGTTCCAAGACTCTTTCTTTGACTTGCAGATGGTTGTCTTCTTGTGTCTTTACATTGTCTTCCCTCTGTGCCTATGTCCACACTTCCTTTTCTTATAAGAACATCAGTCATATTAGATGAGGGTCCACAATAATGACCTCATTTAACTTAATTATTTCTTTAAAGATACTGTCTCCAAATATAGTCTGAGAACTAGAACTTCATCATATGAATTTGGAGAAAATATAATTCAGCTCATAATAACACATAAGACTACACTGTATCCAAATCTTGGTCCTGCCTGTTTTTTTCCTTTGAGATATGCAAAGCCATTTATGTTTCCCTGAAAACTGTGTTGGGTAACCTGTAATTATGGATGATTGCTTTTTAAACATGATTTATTCTTAAACAATACTACAAAGAAATTTCTTCATTAGTAAGTATTAATTGCTCTACTTGGAATGTTGCTCCATCTAGTGTCCACCATATTCTACTACTTTTGTCTAAGTTATAAAAACAAATAAAGGAATTATGTTGGAGAAAGGGTTTTCTAATAGTTGGGTTATTATTCACAGAGCACTGAAGAATCAATGGCAAAAATCATTATTTAAATACTGCATGTGGAAGGAGAGAAGGGCCTATCTAATGACATTTTTTGACAATTCAAAAAATGTTGTTATCATCATTTATCATCACCACCAGTTGCTATTTATTTTTAATCCTATGAGGAAACTGAGACTGGGTTTTGTCACTTACCCAAAATATTACAGATTATAAAGTTATACTGTTTGTATAACTTCTGAATTTAAGCTCTTAATCATTGTGAATATATAAGAAG